TCTGCTGTTAAAGAAATCAGAATGAAATTAACTGGGAGGAAAAGGTTATCGTGCTTGCAAATAAGAGTGAATATGAGCATTGGAAGTAATGAGCTGACATGCCTTGCAGTATATCCTTTTAATAAGGAGTAGAAACTGAACCTCTCATTCAGATAGAATCACTGCAAACCCCTTTCTCTCTCTTTTTTTCTTTTTTTTTTTTTTTTCCCAGCCATTAAAAAATATCAAATATATATTAAAAAAATGGTTGGACTGGATGGTTGGACTGAAAAATACGCTAGTGCATAATTCATTAGCTTAGCACCACATCAGGACTGTTGTCATTAGTTAAACAATTGCTTGCTTCTGACACAACACAGAAGAAATAGATGGACTCTGCATGTTAATCTGCAGTGTTTTCACAGTTTGAGACAGACAAAAAAGAGAAAAATATTTCTTTTCTAATGGGAATTTTCCTTCTCCAGTTTGAGGCTTGCTGAAGAAAAAGATGAAATCCTTTCCAAACCCTTGTTCTACTTCAATGTGTGTTGCTTTTCTTTCTTTCCCCCCAACTTTTATTTGTTTACTTTTAAAAAAAATCTTATGTTTAAACTGGTGTCTTAATTTTTGCTGGGCTCAGTGTGAAAAAGGCAAACATACTGTGACAGACAAGGACCCAAAGTATTGTTTTCTGTCTTATTTTCTTTTCCTTAAGTACTGTCCAAGTTATCTCTCTTTTAATGTGCACCTCAATTTTCTTGACATAGGAAGAGAAGTATTTTTTAAAGAATTAATCTTCATCATTTCACCCTTACTTTCTGGAACATAGACTAGTTCACACTGTTCTCTTAAATTTCTTAATTTTATATTTTGAATTGAAGTCTCTTCTCTTTTTACAGGAAAAAAATACCTAGCACTGGAATTTTGCTTCCCTGTGGTGTAGTTGTTCAGCTTCCATAACAAATGTGTAAGATTCAGCATCTTGAATCCTTCAAGAAGAACAATTAGCTGCTGTCCTTAATGAACAGAAAGTTGCTAATGTGCTTTGTGTGTAAATGAGAGAATGGCCAAATAAAATGGCAGCCTCTTACTTCATTTACTATGTCCTAGGGGAAAATCTCTTTCTGTGTTAGCTCCATCAAATGTATGCCAAAGTCCAGCCACTTACAAACATGAAGGCAGTGTCCCTGTTTCAAACAGTGGGATGTCATCCAATGGAAGCTGCTGCTACAAAGCAAATACTAATTACTGAGGGATTGTTTCTACCAAAGGTAGTTTTAATTTTATGCTTAATGCTCCGAAGTCAAAATGTCACCCATTTAAAAATTGTTTTAACTATATTGCTGGAAAATCAAGTAAGTAAATCTCATCATGCATTGATTTTATTACAGATTTCCCTTATCCCCAGTGATCAAATTTTCAGATCAATTGCCTTTGAGGCTCTTGCTCATCCATTTTTAAATATGGATGATAAGCTTTTAAAAGCTTAATGTTCCTCAGCAAGCCACTGCACCATGTGTAACTTTCAGGGTTAAATCTCCAGCACAGATCAATACATGAATGCAGAAACTGTGTGATCACAGAAGCTGAAAATCTGGCCCCATGTTTTGAATAATTATTTGCTTGTCATTACAAATCTTTCTTGTTACACATTATAAAGAGAAATTTTTCTATGTTTTTAGATTGTAAGCCCAGAGGATCAAAGAAAGAGTTTCATAATTTTTCTAAAACATGACATGCTGTTCTGCATCCAATTTCTGGCAGTGCAAATGTGGAGTACTGTGCCAACCAAATTAAAAAGTAAAAATAAAATAATAGAAAGGAAGAAAGAAAGGAAAGCAAGGAAGGAAGGAAGGAAGGAAGGAAGGAAGGAAGGAAGGAAGGAAGGAAGGAAGGAAGGAAGGAAAGAAGGAAGGAAGGAAGGAAGGAAGGAAAAAAAAAAAAGAAAACAACCTTCCTTGAATATACTTTATTTTAGATGATGGGAGAGAACATGAAATAAAAACTGGCACTTGCATTTCTACTTTCAAATTGCTTCAGAGAAGCATGTAACAAAAACTCTGGAATATGGTCCTCTTTATGATCATTGTAAATCATTTTCACAGAGTAATGACTTCTTTTTTCCTTTCCCTACACTGGTAATTGCTTAGTTTACTATGTCAAAGTTTTTTCATGCTTTGATCTTTCCTGTTCCCTTTTGTCTTTTCTAAGAAAGAAGAGCGGCCAGTCAATAAGAAGAAATCGTCATACTGAAAAAAACAACATGATTTAATTGTTGTCATTCATGGGCATTAAAATTCAGATACATTGTGAAATACAAGATAACGACAGAGAACATGAATTGATTCTAGTGATAGAATTTTCTCCCACCAACAGAAAATAGCACAGACTTTTATCCAGTTCTTAAGCTGCTTTTTAAGGTTTTTATCCAAGCACCTAGCTAGCTTATTCAAAAATAAGAAAACATCCTAACATTTGACATTATAAAAGGAAATGGAGTCAGTAGCTGTAAAAATAAATAGAATTCATGTCTTCTTGCCTATCTGTGCCCATATAGCAAGTATTCATACACTTTTAATGGTTTTTAAACCTGCTTACATTAGAGCTAATTATATTTTCCATACAAACATATTTTCATCACACTATCCCTTTAACTTTACCTGTAATAATAATATATATAATGTTGCATATCAATATAGTGATCTAAAACTAGCTTGATCCCAAGTTAGCCTACTGGGCTTTTTGTAATTAACATGACAGATGTAAATTCACGTACTGAGACTCCATTACATTGCATTTGCTTCCTAGCAAGCGGTATCTTCAGTGTGAACTTAAAGCTACAGCTGAGCGATAATTTTGCCGCTTGTGCTCACACCGCAGCCCAGGGCCGCTCCTTCCTTGCCGTGCCATGGCTTCGTCATGCTGCCAGACTGGGAGCAGCAGAACGTCTCCCAGAGCCCGGGGACGCATGGGTGGTGCAGAGCCTGCTCAGCCACCAGCTGGGCTGGGTGATGCACAGAGCGGGGTGACGTACTACGCCCGGGCTGTCACAGCGGCAGCCCCAGGATGCGGAGGCAAAAAGCATAAGCAAGAGCAAGCCTGAGACTGCTGTGATTTAGGACCTGACCAGCCATCCCCAACATGTTGCAAAGTTGATGAAAGGCTCGCTTCGCCTTTCCTGCAGTGCCTTTGGTCTAGCAGTGAGGGCACTTCAGCCAGCCCCACGAGTGGGTTGGATGACTACATTTTTATGCAGGTACATTATAATCCCCAATCCTGCAAAAAAAATGTGTCTGGGTGAAACCCTGTGAAGGGTTTCTCTGGAGAGGTAAAAAACAAAACAAAACAAAATTCCACGAGGGTCTCTTAACTGCTGTGCAGTAGGAACATCTGCAGGCTCCCACCAGCCAAGCAGATCTTTGGATCTGCCCACTTCGCAGCAGCTCTGGTTCTAGCTGAATGAACAACTACTCTGGGACATTCCCCATGGCTTTTCCTATTCCACAGTCTCCCTGTCCAAGCTCCAGAAGAGACTCTGAAATACTGTTGGCCTCTGTTTCCATACTTTTGAAGGTTGGATGGGGGAACAACATGTATTTCTACTGGTCACAGTCCAGTCTTGCACACTCCATTCCTCCTCTTGCACAAGTATTCTTTGTTTCTATTTCCGTTTCTGTTTCTCTTTTCTCCCAAATGTGTGGAAAAGGCTCTGGTGCCCTAAGAAAGTGTGTGAAATGGGCACTGATTTAAAAAATGGCTGATGGGTAAACATTATGTGGGCTTAGGGGCTTGGCTTATAATTACTCTCTATTAAAAAGTAAGTAATAGAGCTCCAAGAGCATCCAGCTTTCAGTTTGAACAAAAAAGGGAAAGGGGTAGTTTGGCACCAACATCTGTTAAATCTGAATGGTATGAGAAAGAAGTCATACTAACAGTGACTTGGAAGGATGGAGAGTTGCTTCTGAGCTTAATGGGAATGAACTCCAGCACAACGTACCACACACCATGGTATCTCTCCACTACAGTCCTATTTATTATTCCTGGTTTGTTCACAGGTTTTTAACATAGGACCACAGCCACTCTGGGAATCAGTTTTACTCATGTCCATGGGAACATATCTACCCTAAGCTCTTCATGAAAGATTACTGGTTGTTGCCTACTTAGATACATCTCTGTTAGATATTGAAACAGTGGGAAGATACAAAACTTTGTGCAATACAAATATTGGTCCTCTGATATCTTCAATGTCAGCAAGCATGGAATAGGAAAAGAGTTCTACATTTTTAAGTGGTAGAACCAACACTGGATAGAGAACATCAAAATGCCTAAAAGATTACTCAAGACCAAGATGTTTTTATGAGTGGCCTCTGTTTTTTGGATATCCAGCTTGAGACACCATTAGTGGAGTAAATTTTCAGAAAGCCTTGAGCACCTGCTTTGTGGAAATCTGGTTGCATTAAGGTATCTGAAGATGAGCACCAAGAATTGCTGCATCCAAAATAAGTTTTCACTGGAAATTCAAGTTCCCTCAAATTGGCATTTAAGGAGGACTTAGTACTTTAGGCAGCGCTGAAAATCCTAGGCACCGTGCACAGTGCAAGTTTATCTCAGACACTGGCAGATATAGGTAAACATCTTCAGCCTAGACCACTACAGATTTAGAGGGAAGTATTTCAGTAATTCAGGGCTAGCAATACTAATTTTTTTTTCATTGATAGTTTAAAAAGCAGATGTATATTTAGATACAGGTGAGATGTAAGGAAATAAAGTACTTTTTCTCTTCTAAACCTTAATAGCTGGTTTCAGATTTTATTTAATAATCTTCTTCTAAGACTTAATCGTTTAATTTTTTTTTCCAATTTTTATTTCTTGTGATGTGTAAATAGCTAAGAAATATTAAATATTATAATATCTTTCATTAAGACAATAACATTTCAAAGGCTAATGTAAATTCAAGCTGCTAAAGTCTATAATTTTTCTGTCCAGCAGTTCATTTACACAACTGCCCTGAGTAGATGCTATATGCGGCTTAGCAAATGGCCCTAAGAGTTTTAAAATAACTCAGTAAAGCTACTCAAAGGTAATGCAATACTTCTCAGGCATCTTTAATTTGAGTTAAGAAGAAAGTAGGGTTTTCTCATAAATTATTAACCCACCTGTTCAGTGATTTATACACATTCAAAACACAATTGGAACAGTCAGAAGTAATTGTGCTTGTAAATATGTATGGGATCACAAGACTCGTTTTCAGAAAGGCGGGGTTTTATGCTGCAAAATAAATCCTATATTTCTGGACTGTTTTAACTGCTTTCATTAAACTGTATATTGTTCCCATGCAAAAACAGTGAAAACAGTCTTTTCTAATCTAGCTTGCTATTGGTTTTGTGTTGCCTTTTTTTTTTTTTTTTTTATTTTTATTTTTTGCAAAACCTCACTGATCCCTATAAACAAAAACATCTTATTTTAAAACTCCAGATACAATCAATTTGCAGTATATCTCAAATGGGTACAAATATGTAAAATTTGTGCTTTTAAAAGCTTCTGCTTTGAGTAGCCTTACATTCCATAATTGTGTCCTAGCAATTGTCAAGCTCTATTGCATGCCCCATTCACGAAACTTATATTCTGTTGGGATGTAGCTTAACGAATTTGGCTCTTACCTAGAGCTTCCATTAAATTATATTAATTTTAAATATCTATGGAATGATACTTTTACAAAAATATTTTAACAAAAACAAATTAATGGGTTGGGTTTATGAAAATGACTCTACAGTAAGAAAGAAAGGTTTATCACAGTTTTGGTAACTTGCACGAGTTCATATCGAAATCTCTCACATGTTCCTAATGAATTTAAAACTGTTGCGCTCTAGGTATTTTCAGTTGTACGCTCTGAAACAGTAGACACCGTACAGCTTGTGTTTTTTATCAGGAAAGCCTACAAAGCGGACTGCAGCCTCGTTGGGGCTGCAGCGTTTTCTGGGTCTGGAGATGGGGTAGCGGACACTGCCGTCTGCCAGCCAGCCGGCGTCGCAGCGGTCATAACCAAGGAGCTTCCAGGCAGCGAATATCTGCCCAACCTTGGCAATCTGAGCACCATCCTTCAGGCAGGCCTGCACGGCTTCGTCATAGGTCAGCTTGGTTGGGTGTATTAGGTAGTAAAAACGACCTGGGGAGAGAAGGAAGGAGAAGAGCATATTATCAAGGGAGGTTTTGAGGAGAAATGAGGATGTTCCGCTGCAGAACTGGACAATTCAACATCTGATCATTTCAGAATGTGCAGCAAATTGTGTGCTGTGCTGTTGAACAGGTTATAATCCCTTGTGCAATAAGTGATAAATAGTGGGAGTGAAAAAAAAAACCAATAAGAAAGTAAAGGTCAGTTTCTACAAAAATACAGCACTGTACTTATTTCTGCTAACAGTACAGCATAGTAACTGCATGGGCATTCAATGCTAACAGACCTGTTGCGATGCATTTCATAGAATCACAGCCCTTACAGCCCAACCAGTTCCAACTCTCTCCCATGGGCAGGGCTGCACCCCACCAAATCAGGTTAGAATAGGGCCCCATCCAACCTGGCCTTGAGAGCCTCCAGGGATGGGGCACCCACAGTTGTCTGAGCAGATGTGCCAGGGCCTCTGAGTAAAGAGTTTCCATCTAACATTCAGCCTTGCTTTCCTCCTCTGTCTGCAAATTTAAAATAGCAGGAAGAACGTAAGGGGGTGTAGCCTGGGGTTCAGAGTGGGCTGTTCTGAGACCAGCATCAGGTTCTATCTTCAATCCAGTAAAATGCCTAAGGAACCCAAGATCTAAGGTAGAGCAGATCTCAAACAGTAGCATCTTGTTGCTAGAGAAGGGAAATTAGTTGAACATCCAAAGCAGTGTAATCCTACAGCATGCTCTCCACATTAGATGAAAACCCTTTGTGAGTTTCCTTCTCAGAAGCATGGCGTTGCAAGACCTGGCCTTTGAAAGTATTTGGGTGGGAGCTGCTGGAGCTAGCACGTGCAGTTCTTCTTTCCAATAAGGCAGTGACCTTGTTTCTGATTAAATATAAGCACAATTTAAAGTTCTTTGATTTTTTTTTTCTTCTTCCATGTAAGAAAGATGAGATATTGCACGGCTTCTCAGAAGCAGAGTTTGAACCCCTGGTAGATCAAAACCATGCCGGCTATAAGTCTTCATTAGCTGTTCCACAAGCATTCACAGCAGTTCTCCAGCTCTGTTTCTCTTTAGGCATCAAAGGGCATATCCGTAACGTACCACAGCACTGAACTGATAGAGCAGCTAAGCAAAACACGCCCACCATAAGGTAATGAAAACACATACCAGCAAGTAGAGCTTGAAAACTCCTCTGTACCAATCCATAAGTAGCAATAACGCTAATATTAATTTCACTTATCAAGATAGTATAACTTTATCACAAGCCTTTCACTCATTAAACTTATTTATCAGATTTCCAAGTAAGTTCAAAACATTTTCAATCTTACTGCATTATGAAAGGGGCAAGCTGTCTGAAAAGAAAAATCTATTTATTCATGTGAGGCAAACTGCTTCTTAATTAAAAATGTACTCCAGCAAAACATCCATTTTCTTCCTCATAAATAACAGCAGTAAAACAGAACAGATTCTGCACAGATTACTTTCTTGGTGAAGGAAAAGCAGCAGGAAGGAGAACGAGTTATGTCTAAATCTCAGCAAAAAGCAGAGAGGCTTTTTGAAGTGAAGCAATGTCAGGTTGGGTGAAACTATAAAGATAATTGAATTAGCTATGTGTGAAGATTTGAAATTTTATACTATGATGGAAATCATTAAAAAAAAAAGACACTTATATTGTGGAGAAGAACCTTTTAAACAATTTCACTGTTGTCAGAGGTAGTATCTACAGTATTTTCACCAGAGTAGAGTGGATAATTGACCCCTTGTAAAATGCATTGATTCCATTGCAGCAAGTTGGCAGCATTTACAGGCTGTTACTGAAGAGAATGTTTATTAAGTGGAACCCTGTTCTTACTAGGCTTTTAAGAGGTTTCCCCAAAGCAAATAGGATTTCAGACTAAGAGAACAGGGATTTGGACTGATAGTATGTAAACTTCACCTAGCTTATTAGTTGCTCTTCAAACCATATGTCAGGGGAATGTAATTTCCTTGGGATTTGCAGTAAGGTCAGGCTTTTGACATATGACATCAATAATAAAAACTCCTACACTCTGCCCTTTCCCTAAATGGGAGAACTTTAACATCAAACCCCACGCGAGTGGAATGTGCACGCAGAATGTCCGATTAAAGGCTGTGAAAATAGACTTGGTGGAGATTTACTGGTTTTCCCCTACCAACAGGCTAGAAGTACTCCTAAAATGCTCATTCTTAGTTCTCATTAATTCACGTGGAAGGAGGGAGAAGCGTTAATCCTCTGTCTGTAATTAATGTGTGTCAGTTAGGTCATTCCTATAGAGAATGAGTGTGCTTGGCTTGACTTTTCACTACAAATCAAGGGGCAGGAGTTTATGCAAACCTAATAGAACCCCACTTGTAACAGCTATTTTAAGGTTTAGCTTGTAATGGAACAGCTTAAAGAGCAAAATTTGAGCACTTGACTTAAATACCCACACCTTGTGACTGCCGGAGTGCGACAGATGCACTGCCAGTGGAGATTTGTTCCAACCTCAGCTCTAAGTTGCGTATTTCAAGGCAAAGTTTTGTATCTAAGCTGGGTGCAAAGGAAGTGGGACATCATCCTTAGTGGTATTGATAGGTGATACCACTCCACCAGATCTATTCTGTGTGAGAGCCAACACAGTGCCTGACAGGGAGGGCTGTAGCCCATGTGCTCAGGGAATTAAGTTGTTTCATCAAGTAGAGAGCACACGTCAGATGGCAATGACAGGCATTCTCAGCATGCAGTACAAGATGCTACTTATCATCAGCTCCACAGACTCAGTACAGTGTATCTCATAGCCACAGTAGCCAGCTGAGTGAGGCTGTTGCTCTTCAAAATGTATAAAAATTAGTGAGAATAGAGACTTTTCATTCCCTCAAAAATAGGATCATGAAATGCATGTTGAAATCAATGTTCAACTCAGGAGCTGTATTTAAACAGCTACATTAAATATTTGGGTATGATTTTTGAAAATCCTCTTCCACTCCCCCCGAGAAGCCATTGGCCAAGAAGGACCCACTTTTCAGAAAGAGCAAATCATTTTTCTTTGGGTAGCTTTATTTTCATTTTTAGAGAAATGGATGCATGTTCAAATATTCTCTTTATCAAATGAACAATCAGTGTGGATTATTTGGAAAAGATCTTCTACTGCTTTAAACGGTGGTGGTCACCTTAACATGTGCATTACTGAAATAAGCAGCTGCACTCACACAATATCCCTAAAATTTACTCTCTGTATTTTTAATTTTGTTAACATAAAATAATTTTATTCAATTTTGCTAGCTGTGATAACAAATAGATTATGCAGTGCAGTTCAGTGTGTAAAGTACTTAACAAAATGCACATTAATGAGCTGGAAGTGTGATACAGGCAGTATTTAGACCTCTTTTTTGTTCAGTTTTAGAATAACCCTCCTGGACACCTTCCTATGCAACTGGAGTCGGACTCAATGTTCTCTTCCAATCCCTACAACTCTGTGATTCTGTGATTTATCTTGCCTAACACTTCTCAGAGTCAGAGTTTTCCATTTATTCATTTATTTATTTATGGAGAGGCTCACTGCCTCCTTCAGAAAGCCCTTGAAATTAGGCAAAGAATAACCCTTCAGCTATATTACTACATGTTCTTTGCCCCATGCCATGTGGGGTCTGTGGGACATGAATTTCTTCTGCAGTGTTTATACGAAAGAGGACTAAGTTACATCTTTCTTGCATAGCCTTGCTGTCTGATTTTTGAGCTCTGAATAGTAAGCATATTGGTGGGATTATGTTAATATTAGTTTTTGTGTACTTTTCTGTAATTCATTGCTATATATTCTTATAAACCAAGAAATTACTTGTACTACTCTTCAAAAAGCATGCATTACCTCTTGGGATTTCTGGCTTTACCTGCACAGCCACAGAAGACAAAAAGTTCCTCTATGAACCAATTGAAGGAAGGAGTTAGATGGGAAGAACAAAATGCTCAAGTAATGCACTTAAAGTACTCCAAGAAAAGACACTGGAGAGGGTAATTTTGTCAAGTAATGAGTACTGTATATTGTATTGTATAAGAACTTTGCTGAAACTACTTTCCTGTACAGTCAAGAGGAATGAGTACATAATTCTTTGATAACAGAATGAAAGTACTTCTTGGTGTTCACCAAAGAGAGGTCCCATAGATCCTGAGTGAAAACACTGAAGCTGGATTGAAACTAACTGCATTAATGATTATGTTTCCATTTTTCAACTTAATATCTAAAAATTAAGGATCTTCATTCTCCAGGTTAAAACTAAGCCTCAACTACTTAACATTGAGCCTTTTTTTTCCATCTCACCTGACATCATGAGGTACTTAGGGATGTTTTTCTCTAGAAAGAACCCAAACTAAACTTCACGCCCCCCGGTTACTCACAGCAGCTCACACAACTGACACTCTTTGAGATGTGCTTTTTTTTCAAGCTAGCATTGCATGCCTCCAATCCTGAGGCTACTGGTGTGTTTCCAGCTCCCTCACACAGTGCTGAAGGCTTCTCTGTTTTAGTGCATCAGGAGATTCCAGCTGTCACTGCCACTACTGGTGTCCTGACTTCATTTTCCTTGGCTGTTCCTGAACTGAGAGAATCAATATTGGGTGTTGCAGAAATAGCTCTTTGCCCAAAGCCACTATCTCTGGCAGTTGCAACCTAGTGGGAAACCAGGTTATTATAAGATTTTTCCTTTTACAGTGAGAACACTAATGACATTGTTAAGTGTACATAAGCTGTCTGAGGTGTTAAGCTGCAAATAAGATGCTGGCATTTGGGGAGCATTTCTGGGATTATTGTGGTGTGCTTGGAATACAAATAGTGGAGAACAGAGAAGGGACACAGGAGAATGTGTCCAGATTTTCTGCTGACGCCTTGAGAGATGTATATGGAGGGGAGCTGAAGGGACCTGGGTAAAATGGTACTCCACTCTTCACATCACAGTGTTGCTGCATGGTTTTCTGTCCCGCATGTCATTTTAGCAGACTCGCCAAGCATGAGATCAATACCAATGCCTTGTCTTTCACTTCTCTGCCATCTCTATACCATATTCTCATCTTGCCTTATTCCTCTTTCTCTTTCTTTCTCTTGCAGTATCAGTGTACAGACAGTATTTGTCAGCATTTCTTTTTTTTTTTTTTCAGCTTTTTTTTTCTTCTTTCCTTGAGAGATACTGTCCAGCTGCTTGTGTAGACAATGGTGGTCCTTAGTGACCAGTGAACTCAAGAGTTTATGCTATCAGCACTTTAAATAGTGCAGCTATCAATTTTAATTTTTCCTTTGTTTATTTTATTCCTCAGTGTTTTTTTTCTCCAGATTTAAATGAGCATATGATGAGCTCGTATAGGATTTTGCCTTGCTTAAATGGAACAAGAGAAAAATGAGCCAGCATTTCATGGAATTATGTAGCATGATAAAATCACACAAACATTTGCTTCTGACTGTGTCCCACCTAATTTTTTATATTATTAGTTTGAGAATTTGTTGGATTTTTTCTTTTTGAGAGGGTGGGACAGGCCTAGCATTAAAGCATATCATCTGAGAACAAGGCTTATGTTTATTTTTATGTATGCTACAGGGCAAAAATGCTTCACTGAGGATAAGCAATCTGAGCATAAACAGAAAGGGCTGTGCTCCTTGGTCTGGTTGGGCTGAATGCCAAACACATGTGAATGCCAAACACAAGTGAACTACCCGTGAGCACGATGCTATGGAGGGCTGTAGGCTCCTTTTGCACTTCTTACTTGCAGTGCTCCTCTCATTCACAGCCATGCTTTGTAAATCCTTTCCAGCCATTAGATTAAACTATAAATGATAGTCTGAGATCAACAGATCAGCTCACTTCGTACCTAAGGTAAAATCTACTAACTGCTGAAATTTTGCAGCCACTGGAATAAGCTTTAGGGCAGACCAAGCTCAGAGTAAGAGGGAATGTCTCAGTTTTGACAGCATGCTAAGATTAGAAATCTGAATTATTTGTTATATAAGCTAGAAAAAACTTTGCTGATAAGGAAATATTTGTCATATTAGACTTGTTGTATGAGCTGGAGCTGCTTGAGGCAACAGCAGAGATGAAGTGACAATCACAATTTTATTTTGGTGACACTGATGTCGTAAAACATCGTAATTATAATTGAAATCAATGGGAAATGTCAACTAAAGAAATTGCTAATTTATTCACCATTTTAACTAACATAAAAATTAAAAAGGCATGTTTAGTGGGGTGAAATTGGAGATATAAGGAAGCGCTACTAACATTAGCTCCAAGTTCTGAAAACAATCTGCATGAACACACGGCACAGCCACCATTACTATGGTTACATGTCTTTTTAAATCCATCAGTAACATTTCCCGAAGCTAACATAAACTTTGGCCAGCCAAGTGCCATCTGCTACCCTCTGGTGACGCTGGCATCTCTTTCTTTTCAAAGCATGAAAAAATCCCTTTGCAAGGTAGAAGCAAACCGGGTTCTTACCATTGAAGTTAGAAGTAAAACAGAAAACATCGTATCGGCTCTTCTCTTTATCCCAGAAGCCATAGTTTCGGACACCAGGCACCGTATTCTTCCCCCCGCAGGGCTCCCTGGGCTTGGTGATGGGGTACTGCACCGAGCCATCGCTGAGCCAGCCAGCATTGCACCAGTCCAGCCCTGACCTCCAGGCCTCATAGAGCTGGTCGAAGGAGGCAATGATGGAGTCCTGATCCAGGCAGGCTTGTTGAGCCTCATGGAAGTTTAGGTTGTAACGACCCAGACGTGGAGAATAGGGGAATACAACACCTGAAATGGCAGAAAGAGGTAAGCTGGGGTGTTACCAACACTAGAAGAGGTTTTGAGTCTCCAATTCTGAAAGAACAGAAGGAGAAGTAGCATTTACAGTTGTCAGAAGGAGACTCTGTGATGTCTTAGAATCATAAAATCACAGAATCATTAAGGTTGGAAAAGACCTCTAAGATCATCTAGGCCAACTGTCTACCTACCAACAACACTGCCCACTAAAACCATGCCCCTAAGTACTACATCTGCCCTTCCCTTAAAATTTCCATGAAATCTTGTGTGGTTTTAGGAAGATGTTTTATAATACACCCCAGCTGCTTCTGGCAGTTTCTCACCACTCAGGAAGGAAAAGCTCCTCACGGAGAGCAACAGGGAACAGGATTTCTTTAGTACCAGACAGATGTCCTCAATGAAAGCTGATGAGCCTTGCCGCTCATCAGTGGTCAGCAGCTGCAGAAAGGTAGGGTGGAGAGACCTTGGAACAGGGAATATCCAAGTGGAGACAGTAAATGGGAAACAACTCCTGAGCTGTTTCAGCAGCAACATTCATAGTCATCACCTTTATTTCACAGGTCTTTCCACTGTACATTTGTTTGTTTCACAAACTCTCACTCTGAACAGGCTGCCTAGAGAGGTTTTGGAGTCTCCTTCTCTGGTGACACTCAAGACCCATCTGGACCCTTTCCTGTGTGACTGGCTACAGAGAGCTTGCTTTAGTAGGGGACTGGACTCGGTGATCTCCAGAGGTCCCTTCCAACCCTTACAAGTCTGAGATTCTGTGAAAAAGATCTGTTGTTAAAAATTGCATTTCAAAACATAGAAGATGTTGAATAAAATGCTGAAGAACCACCTCCTCATGTGGCTCTGATAAAAGACTGTACAAAGAGAGAGACATAAAAGTTTGGATCAGTCCACTGTAACTTTGGCAGGCTTTAGAAACTTAACTCAGACCTAAATTTTATGGTTGGCTTCAGCCCAATCTTCATAATAAGCTGAAATAAAACGGCATCCAAGAAGATCTAGCTCAGAGAGTTTACTATCAAACATCTCTGCAGAACTTGTTGCTGTGGGATGCTGAGAGGCTGAAGACAAGATAGCACATTATGGAATGGGCAAAAAACTTTAAGCCAGTACAGACATCCATCTTTATTTTCTCCCTGCTGATGAATTCTCCCTGTAAGAAATTCCTTGTCTCCAGGGCAATGTACAGAGCATAGGATACTGAAATTGTATTACAGTCATGCAAGACAGCATGCAATGAAGTTATTCTTCTTCTTGAGGAGTCAGTCCACTTTGGTGTCTATTCCACTGGTACCTTAACATTTCCTTTCTTTTCCTCCTCTCCCTCACTCATTTATCATCCAAGTACTGTTATTTTTGTTAAATAAAATCTTTGTTATTACTAAACCTCAGTGACTTGATCCAAGAAAATAAAGCATACAAACGTAAACATAGCAAGGGAATAATAAACAAGATTTTGTTCTCCCTCAGCAATTAACCAGAGATTCTGCTGACCTTCTTCCCTTTTGTAAATTCTTTCTTAAAGGGTTTTTCAGTTATTAGTTGTCCTGAACTATAAGGATGAATGAAATGTAACACATCATGTGCTGCTAGCTATAACTTAACAAACATAAAGCTGTAGCTATTTCATTATTTTCTGGTCTGGAGCACATAAGAAACCGAGGAGCTATACTTAAATTATTTTAAAGACTGAGAAACAATTCAACAGATACCGCTCAAACAGATTTGATCCCTTAAGGTTTCCAAAATCACTTTTTTTAGATCATTAAATAAATATGTTAATTTGTTATCAACGTACTTGAGTTTGAAAGTTTGAGACATAATGTTTTAATAACAAAAATACGCAGAAAATTGTAATATTAGCTTTGAGCTACATTCGGGTAGACTGCATAGAAGCTGATTTCTGTTTGAGTTCATCTGAAGTACACGTCTGCAACTGATTAACACTAATTTCACCCTGCAGATGGGGTGGCTATTGGTGATTTTGTATAGCAAAACTGGATATGTGTTTTGTGTAGCTTTGCGTTATCTTGCATTTTTGCTCGTATTATTCTTTCCCCTTCAGTTTCCTATCAAACATAACACTGAATTCATAGTTAGTCTTACTATTTGCCTTTCTTTTGGTACAAGTTAGCAGTTCTGAACTTCAGTTAGTTGCACAGCATCTTCTTTGGTCTTGGATCTTACAGCCCATCAAAAGATAATCCATCCCATCTGTTCCCGAATGGACAAAAGCTGTCTGGAGGCTTGACTCTGTTCCCAAACTAAAGACTGACTCAAAACTCCTGACTCCAAAGCTGTGTTTTGCCACCAGACAAAACACATATTTCCAAATGTTAACAAAGTGAGTTTAGGAAATGGAGGAAGAGAACACAGGCTCAAATGGCCAGAAATTAATAATGTGGTTTGGTTTTTTTTTTGGTCACATGAAGGCTCCAGAATGTCTTCCACTGGGAAAGAATGGTCTTCCTCTTCCAAAGACTGGCTGTAGCCTTTTATGTCTGAATTTCACTCCAGCTGAGCGTGAACAAAAGTTGTTAATCCCTCCATGTTTTCTGTAGCATGTCTTGCTGGCAGGCTTTACAGCAACAGCACCCATGTGCAATCAGGCGCTCGTAGCAATCTACCAAAAAATCAGACAGAGGATTGATGGGAGCCTTTTTAAAACCCAGAGAATAGCAGTACCCTCTCTCTGTTGCTGGAAGACTGAACTGAAGAGCCTTAGCTTGATCTTGGTGGTCTGGCTCCTTGCCCCAAGGAAGCTGCGGAGACACCAGCGGAGTCTGAGTGAGGAATATTAACCTACAGCATAGACTCCCAAACATGCAGTTCTCTGAAACTGGGCTTGTCCCAGGGAAGGACAACCTGATGCTCAGGAAGAAACTGAGAAACACTGGTTCACTGGAGAGTAAATCTATCAGTAAAAGTCTTGCTGTATGCACCTGCAGCTATGCAGCCATTGTCCTAAAAATAATGGAAACCAGGATTTGTATCAAAACAGAAGATGTGGAAGTATAGCATATAAAAAAGAATCCAAGAAAACGGAGAGTGGGAGACAAGTGAAACTGTCTTGGAAGGCATCATCATAAATGGTTTTTGTGGAACTGTTTTTGAATTCATTTATTTATTTATTTATTTATTTATTTATTTATTTTTGAGAGAGAGAGAGAATTTACATCTGGCTTATGAGAATCAAACGTTCCGCTAATGAAAATAAGTGGAGAATAATCAGAGAAGCAGAGCTCAGTTCTGATCTCTTAAGGATTGGACAAGACATAATGCATGTATGTCCTTACATGCAAGAAATCCCTAATGCTGAATACAAGTACTTTGCAGTTAATTAGTCACTGTGGGTACAGTCACAATCCAAGGAGCTGTAATAGTGATCCAAGACAACAAGATGAGTAAATAAAACCAGAAAGCTCAATTCCTGTAACAATTTAAACTAGCACTGTAAGCAATGAGCAATTTTAAGCGCATTTACAGATAATCTCTGTTAACACATATGGAAAAAAATAGGACTTTTTTAGCCAGAGTAAAGAAATTGGCTTCCTTGAGTTCTAGCCTAGACAGAAAAGCAATTTTTCTTGTAGCCAGTGTAAACACTAGTTAAAGTAGGTTTGCTATATGCTGTACTGCAGGATACAGTTTTACATTGGCAGGTTCATACACTTGAAGGAAAAATTTTCCATGTTGGATTTCTAAGATCCTGTGATTAGTAAGAGGTTAGTCTCTGATTTTCTTTCAGATTCCACCTCCATTTTTCCGCTTATCTGATTACTCAGCACAAGTTGCATGGGTGAGCTTCCAGTTAGCATCTTGCACCTGAATCTGGGGACATCCATCCACAGTGCCCCATAACCAACCTGTCACTGTGACTGCTTGTTTCTAACTGATACAGGCATCCAGACTAGACTTGCCTGGGCCCAAGGGCAGACAATTCCCTTATTCTCCCACAGTTTTTATCGAAATTTGAAGACTTGTTTTTCTCTGTTCTCCTAGGGCTAATCAGTCCCAAGTCTTTTAGCACCTTCCTTTGAAGTCATTGTTTCCAGATAAATTTTTGTTTCTCTATTTTTTACTTTTACTTTACTGTATCCTTGAAATGCCATTTTTCACGACCGCAGTACAAGTCTGTTTGTAAGGAGCTGTTACCCTGACACAGAAGGAATTACATTGGATCAACATGATTTACTCTTGCAAAACTGCTGCTGTCTATTACAAAAAATCTTCTTGTCTTCTAAGTGCTCATAAATAGCATGCCCTATATGATCAGTTTTACAATAGACAGATCAACAAATTGTCATGCAAAGGATATTTTAAATACCTTTCGGTGTATGAGTGTAACAGCAGCATGTAGAAGAAATAGGAAAGATATCATTAAACTAAATCTAATTAGAAAATAAGGCTGGATTAGAAATGATTACTGTGACAATTTGGAAGAACTTATTTATTTGGACCTTTCGGATTTATCTGTTGTGTTTTTAAACTATAAGGTCAGTTTTTGAAAAAGAAACTCGATCTTTTTCTCACTCTATCTTGTAAGCTGATGAACCTCCAAGCAAGGTCACAAAACCTTGTTTTGGGGTTTGTGTGGAGCCATGTAAGGATTGCCTCCAACTGAGAAGCACAGTCTACAGATACTTTCAATAGCTTCATCTAAATTTACATATTTCTGGTTCTGCAGAATGTAGAAAATACTTATTTTACAGATTGCACTGTAAGAATGCCTTTGGCAGCCTAGCATTGTTCTACTTTCTCTGCCACTTGGCCCATGAATCTCACTGCCATGAACAAACAGTGCACATAAACCATGCAGGAGCAGTGTGAGCCACAGGTACTGCTGGAGGCTTCCCCTGCCTGGAAAACCGAAGCAGATAAACCTGGCACAGGGAGACTCACTGCAGTGCATCGTGCTTGTCAGATAGGAAAACAGTAAAGCACAAACATAAAATGTCGTGCAGAAGAGTAAAATGACAACATAAGGAAAATTTAATGTAAGTTGAGAATTCTTTCTTTGCTTGTGATTCAGGCAACTGTACCTATCTACCACAGGGGACCTTTAAAATGTTAAGCTTTTGACTCTTGTGACATCTGTAAAAGAATGTGAAGTTAATAATCCTTATTTTAAATGCAGTATCATGGCATGCTCAGTTCAGTGAGAAAATGGCTTTGGTGACAAGCTCGTTATAAAATATATCTCACACCATCTACAGTTTCTGCCACTTCTTCCAGCCACTGTGCCCAGCCCAACAGTTCCATACTCAGTTTCTGCATTTAAGGATAAATGTGAGATGATAATGATGAGAAGGCTGAACAGTTTTGGAAAGATGGAAAGATGGAAAGAAGAAATGAAAGGAAGAGAGGGAGGAAGGAAGAAAGGAAGTGAGTAGGAAGGGAGGGAGGGAGGAACTGGCACAGTTCTTCACTTTATAGTAGCAATAAGAATATGCAAGAAATGTGTAAGATACTTAACTGAGCCTAATTCTGCCTTCAAAAAAAAAAAAAAAAATAGCCAGTTACTATGCATAGCATATTTAATCACAGTACTAGAAGGCTTTTAAATCTAACAAGAATATAACACTACCACTTTCAGGGAGGATAAAAGGTCCACTGAGGTAGAGGTCAACTATTTTCATATTGATAAATTAATATGATTTTGCTCAGGCAAATCTATGCCATTTGTACAGTGATCTCACACTGAAGTGATCAGTTGGTTTGTACTGCTAGCAGGCATTCCTGGGTATAAATGATTTTGTCTTGCTGCCAGTCAACATCCTTAGGGCCACCATCTCAGGATATCATGCTACTGATGCAAATCCTTCCTACTGTGAGATAAACCTTATTACACGTAGCAGATGCAGAATGCTAGTGTGGAGTAGCATTTTTACTTTTGTCCAGAGAGACTGATTTTTTAAACTCATCCTGATCTGCACTGCACAAATGCATGAAACAGCGATAAAAGTGAGCACTGAATGAAGTGGTCATTCTCATATGGATGAGATGACAGGATGAGTGCAGGGGCATAGAAAGAGATGAATACACTCCATCCACTACTTATGTCTGCGTGTCCACTGTAAACGTAAGTGCACTTTAGTAGTTATGATTGTAGAGCAAATCTTCAGTGAAACTTGGACCCAGAATCACTGAATTTAGTTACCCTAGTTGAAACAAAGTTGTTTTATTCTAAACCAACACACTCAATAGTCTTATCTCACTTCTTGAACGGTTAGCTTTTACCATGGGATTTCACAAATGATTTTCCAACTCCCTGGGAGACTTCACTCTCTAATGTCAGATATGAGCAGCTTGACACCCTTGACTGACAAAGTCATTAAAACAAAACACTGTTCCATATGTTAAAATGCATAAACTTTCCTTTGATCAGAGAATGGAGCAGTCTTGTTAAAGACATACTTAATTCCTCTCCTATCCAATGAATTTCTTTATTTTGAATTCAAAGAAAAGGAAACAGGAAGGAGTGGTGGTGTTGGAGAAGATGGATTGGAGTTGGCATAATTCGAAGGCAGACGCTGCTTAGAGAAACAGCAGCAGGCTGAAGGTGTCTGTAGTAGGTAGAACCTAGATCTTCTGTACAGTAAGCTGGTGCTCTATCACTAACTAGGCAAGGTAGAAAAGAAAGATCTCTTTTCTGCAGTGATATTTAACAGATATGTTTCTCCAGTGCATACTGCTAACTAACTTCTGGGTGTTGTCTTTGGAGCAGCAACATTCAGGAGTGTTGTGCAATGTTCAAGCTCTGTTAAGGAAGTGTAGTTGTCTACCTGAGCAACCTCATATTGCTCGCTATTCCATCTGTGCTTTTAGTCCTCAGTTCTAGGCACTGTCAAAAACTATGTAACTACTGCACATGGTTAACAAAAAACATTTCTCATTGTCTTCTTATTCTAATATCATTTCAATATTGCCTTCCAAATACTAGTCTCTGCACGTGCGCAACGATCTGTACCAAGCTCCAGGCAAAGTTTCTCTCTGTTGCTGCAGCTGTTAGTCATCTGCCCTTTCCCGAACTCTCCTGTCGCAGCTGCAAGTGTTTGTCCTGGGATCTTGTTGCTTCTAAAAGCAGGAAACTAACGAACATTTACTTCAAAGGCACAATGCTAGTGGTACCAGAAGGGTATGTGGTCCAGATAAGCAGCATGATGAAGATTTTATGCTGGCTCTGAACATTTTACACTAGAAATATTGTCTTAACATCATGAAATTCTGGGAAATATCAGTATTTGGGATCCAGTGGTACAGTTACTTATCTGGACAAGCTCTAAGCCTTACAGAGGCATGTATTTAGGACATACGGAGCCTGTCAGAAGAATTTTATCACATGCCATTTTGCAAGATTGTTGAGCAATGCTACATCCCACCTTGCAACCCAGGAACGAACTCCAGGACAGCCTGCAGAATATCATAAGGGGAACTGAGGCATGCAAAGGTCAGACAGGTGCTGCCTGTGTCTGATCTCCATTACGTGGCAAAGTCAACAGCTGCATTTGCAGTTTTATTATGAGGTGACTTTTTCTTTTTTTTTCTTTTCAATTTTTCTTCTTCTTTCCCTTCTTCTCCCCCCACTAACAAGATTATGTGGCTTCTGGAAAGTTCCTCCTGAAACACACTTGCTGGCAGGTATAAATGTAAAGGGGCAGAGAGATATCTTCATGGAACTCTTTTTTTATAGATGAGAATAATAGAGGGCTTTGGGGAAAAGGCCAGATGCTGATTTACATGCATCAAATCTCATAAAATTAATCTAAATTTCATAAAAGATGAATATTTTGTTCTTTTTAAGTCCATTTCAATAATTTTACTAATGCTTTCTACCATACTGTTTACAAAAAATTGCTGAAGGAAATGACTACCAGAGCGTACGAGTAGGAGTTGTCTTGGCAGGCAATATAGAGATTTACTTTATGTAATTATAAGGCTTGAAATAAACAAAGCTATTGTCTCTGTAAAATTACTTGGAGATTTTCCCTGTTTGTAGGAAGATTTTAATCTTCCTGATAATCTAAAACGTCCCAAAGTTCTGCAAAATGGCTTTTAGGAGAATGCTTAATATAATTTTGATTAAGTCTACTGCAAAAACACACAGCAATTTTTGTAAAATGAAGGGACCAAATTAAAAACATATGGAGTCTTTCATACTGTGTTTGGTCATTCTTTTTTGGCTCCCTTTGCAATGGGGCTCACTGGGAGCAGACTATGCCGTGGGCTAGTGTAAGTTATAAAAGTCCTAATGTTCTTCTAATTTATGATAGCTGCTAGAGGCTCTCAGGCCAAGATCCCCAGGGTGCTATGAATCCCACTTCTCAGTTGGCTGCTATCACTGTTATCTCACAGTACCAGCAGTATGAGGAGGAAAACCAGGCATCCCTTAACACTGTGCAAACCTAATGTTAAGTATAATTCAGGTGTTACCTACCTTCCAAATTCAGAGCTACCACTGCTGTGTCATCCTCTAATCCTTCAATCACTTCGCACTTGTATCTCCCATAATCCTCCAGCATTATATTTGTGATTATAAGAGAGGCATCGTTCTCACTGCTTTCCCTCAGAAACACTCTGCCCTGATACTTCCCGTAGCTCTTTCTGTGGTGTCCCATTGCGACAAAGACGTCCACTTCTTTGAGGTAATCTGCGGTGAGTTTGGTCCACTTGACCCGGATTTTGTGGGCTCCTGAGCCAGCCGTTGATGTGTGTTCATGGTAGAATTTACAAGGCAGTGTGACGTTGCCGCCCCTCTGAGAGAAGACCTTAGCTTGTTCTGCTACTACAAGTAGGCGAGGTCCATTTTCTTCTAAAATTCAAGGAGAAAAACAAAAAGGAGAATTAGTCTGCGCTCCACCTTTTACAGAATGGATATGAACAGTGCTTTAACAAACATTACCTATAAGCATGTGGGATCAGTTCCTTGCAACCATTTGTACCTATGCAGCAAGGCATATGAACTAGTTATATACATATATACTGTTGGGTTTGTATGGCTTCTGTAGGAATGCCATCACCTATAAATGGCTCCTTGCAGGCATCCTGTATTTGCTTGTGGGTTGTTCCAGAGCTGTCCCTTCTTCCACAATTCAGTTTTTCAGTGCAGGATGCAGCATGCTAAGACCCTCATGATATAGCATCCAGCAAAGCATTCTCATGGAATTGGAAAACTGTTCTGGTGTCAAACAGCATTTTTTATATTGACCTGAAAACTGCGCACGTAATTCTAAAATGGCCCATTTTCCAGGTGCATTTTATTCTATATTTTGAGTACCTCTTCTGACATACTTCCACAAATGTCAGGATGTACATTTTATCTTCAAATCAGTAAAATCTTTTCCTTTTCTGCCATCTTTCCCAATAATTTCAATCTTATTCCCCACCTCTTTTTCCAATATCCTTCTAATTATCACTATTTCATCTTTTATGTTTTGATCTGACTTCCCACACTGACCCACATCTAGCTGGTAGGCTATCTTACTCGTCACTCTTTTCCCAGATTCCCTGCTCTCTTTTCTCTCTGTAGGTCACTGCTGCTGATGCTACTCTGTGCAGTCCTTATACTTAGGACAGTCATCCAGAACAGGCTCACTTCCAACCATATTTGTTTGGGCCTTCTTTGATAGACTGTGCTGCCTTGGGAAAGCCTTGAAATGCCTAAGTTTGATGATGACAGACTGCTCAACCACCCACGTGCTCAAACATTATTTCCTTCTTTCAGTAACTCTTCTCCTCTGATTAAGCAAGCTCAGTGCTTCTGTAGATATTGCTGTCCTCTATCACCAAAGCCACCAGCTGAAACTGGCAGTGAATCAGTAGTACACACTTGCTGGAAAAGAATTACCAGCCTCACTGCTTGCAGCTGATTACAAAGAAAAATACTGCAATTTGCTGTGTCTCTAAAACAGGTCAGTGAGATAGCGTAGGAGTGGGATTTCCAGCTCTATGGGACAATCACCTTCCTGCTCCTGTTGACAACGCTACTTCTGATACAAGCCAGGATGCCACTGGCCCTCTTGGCCACCTGGACACACTGCTGGTTCATGTTTAGCCAGCTGTCAACTAATACCCCAGATCCTTTCCTACCACAGAACCTTCCAGTCACTCTGCACCAAGCTTGTAGCATTGCATTGGGTTGTTGTGACCAAAGGGCAGGCCCTGGTACTTGCTCTTGTTGAAACTCACACAACTAACCTCAGCCCAGCTATCCAGCTTATTTAGATCTCTCAGTAGGGACTTTCTTTCATCAGGCAGATCAATACTTCATCCCAGCTTGGCATCATCTGCAAATACACTGAGAGTACACTCTGTCCCCTCGTCTGGATCATTAATGAAGATATAAAACAACACTGGTCCCAGTATTGACCTCTAAGAAACACCACTAGACTAGATATGCTCTGTTGAGAGCATCACTATTAGCTGCATGGGACAAACCAGACAGAGTGCCTACAGACAGAGCAAACTTAACTGCTGCCAACTGGGTTAATAAGACAGGAGACCCTCCTGATGAAAACCACTGTTGTAGGGTCTCACACCATTCTATACACATGGCAATCTTGCTGGTGTGAACAGGGCATGGGGTGCTCTGGCAAGCAGAGCAGTGCATCTGAGGAGAGAGGTGACCTTAGGCAGGGCATGACAGGAAGTGTTGCCAGCCCTGTTTTCATAGGAAGAGGAGAAGGAAGGATGGAAATGCAGCCAGAATAGCTCCTCTGTTGCCTTCCCTGTTTCCATTAGGGACAAAGAAGTCCCACATATGTCTGCCTACCTTGGGAGGGGAAATGTTATGTTTTTGGGTGGTTATTGCTGAGAAATCTGAATCAGAGCTCAGCAATGTTGTGACTTTAATACTGAAATAGGCAAGCTAATAAATATTAGCAGAAAGGACAGGATTGGAGGGAGAGTCTCACTCAGGCTGTTAGCGCTCAAGCTTTCTAGCAACAGCTCAGTCATGCCAGCAAGGCTGGAGGATTGCCCAGAGCACTGTCACCTCTGTCAGCATCCCAGCTGACCCATGTCCCTCCTAGCTGCTGCCCATGGCTCTTGGCTCAGCTGGTGCCAGAGTCTAGATGCCAGGAAGTGCTGGGAACAGGAAGGGGAGCACAGCTTCTCTCAGCCTATGTCCTGAGGCACCATAATGCAGTGAGCAGCTATCCGTGATGAGACAGAGACCTGATGCTGGGAGGTGGGTAAGCACTGTGCTCAGCATGTCAGGGATATGTGAGAATCCAGCACACTGCTAGCAAAAAAGCATACGTCTTTTTCCCCAGAACTGCTTTCTTCAGAAGTCCCATCAGAACAATTATGAGCTGCGTGGACAGTTGACTATAAAGCCTATATTATATATATATATATGAATATAAAGACTATAAAGTAAATTGCAGATAACACCTTGTTTAGCAATTGCCTTCATCAGAACAGTGTGGTTCCTTTCTGCAGATAAGACAGACCTTGTGCACAGACACACAAGTGTCTCACGCGGTAGACAAATGGTGAATAACATGCTGCGCAGCTCTTTCTGCTTTGGAGCAGAAATGGCAGCAGCCTGACTGTTGGTTCTGGTCTCAGCTCTGGAATCAGGATGAGAAAAGTTGCTGAGTGGGGTTATTACCTGTCCACATCCCTCATAAAACAGCCAATAGCTTCACTGTCAAAGAACCAGCCACCACTGGAAATTAATTTGTGTTATTTTTCCACGCTGCTTCCTTACTATCAGTTTTGGGTTTTGATTTGCTTGTAAGTAAATATCAGCGAAGACTGTTTAAGAAGGGATCCAGCAAGAAGTCCTCTTGAGGTGTCACCACAAAGAAATAAAGGAATATTACTCTCCCCCATGTTTTGTCACAAGAAGTCTGTTTTATTTTCCACCTCCCCCTCTCCTGTGTTTGACTGCTATGCATTTTGCACTGCTGTTCTCTCTGCTCCCCAGCAAGTTTTCAAACACTAAAAAAAAATTTTAAAAAGTGAGAATGTCAAGTAGATGTTAGGATTAGATTAGAATTTTTCACTCAGAGGGTGGTGAGGTCCTGGCACAGCTGCCAGAGAGCTTTGGGTACTCCATCCCTGGAGCTGTTCGTGGCCAGGCTGGATGGGGCCCTGAGCAGTCTGAGCTGGGGGGGGAAACCTGCCCGTGGCAGGGAGTTGAAACAGAGTCGGATTTAAGGTCCCTTTCCACAAAAGTCATTCTATGATTTTATGAGTCCATAGTTCTGTGATTCTATGACTGCATTTCTTCTTGCTATTGATCTGTATATGCCTTGACTTCAGCGTGGTTCCCATTTCAGTGACACTAAATGGACTTGCTCTCACTGGCTGGCCTATTGGTTTTGTTCCATATTTTATTGCTGGACACATACACAGATGTTTCGTTTTGTTTTGCTTACTTTTGACTGGCTTTTGTGTTCAAGAGTACTAGCAAACCAGGTTTGGAAGAAACACAGCATAGGGTAGGGAGAATGAGTCAGTCTGTGATTCTTGGCAAAGAGCTCTGTCCACTTTATCCATCAGAACTGACCAGAATCTTGTGCTGACCTTGGTACAAAACTTGATTATTACCCTATTTTAATGGAGTAACTGACAGGGAAGCAACAGGGGAAAAAAAAGCCCAAAAACAACACCAAGGATTTTTAGGATGTTTTGTAAGTTCAAAATCATGAATTGCTTAGGTGTTCCACCTTGTTAACAAACCATTAAGTGCAGTATTGATATAAACGCATATGTTCACATGCATTACTCAAAGAACCTTAAGTGTAAAACATTAGAAAGTATTACACGCAGTTTTTTCCACATAATTTGGAAAATAAACAAACAACAACAAGAAAAACAACAAAAAAACAACAGACAAACCCTAAAAATCTCTGTACTTTGACTGCATGACTAAGAAAAGATGTTCTGATTTGGCTCAAGCATCAATTTCATGTTGTTTATATGAAGATAAAGAAAACACAGACATTAAACTCATACGACTCCACCTCTAAATTGTCATGAAAAAAAATACTTCCTATGTGTTATTTTTATGTTTTTAATATACAACTGGTAACAGAAATGCTTGATAAATCTCAATTTAGAAGTTCAGATAAAGCCTTCCAAATAACAACACACCTAAAATAACCACTATGCAAATGGCAGAACAATCTGTCTCTCCTGCATAGACATGACAAGATGAGGCAGTATACCTTTCCACTGATCCCACCCTTTCATGCTGACTAACATGGTGGAGGAAATGTTTCTAAGGGTCTGCATTAATGCTAGCTGAACTAGGAATCCTAACAGTGTGTAAAATAATAAGGGAAATAACAAACTTCATTTTCTACACTACTGCCACCTTTTACCTTAAAATACTTAAAAATTAGTTTTATGTTTGTTTCAGTATAGATAAAGAAATTGAATGAAGATCAGACTGCAGTCAGGCACTGTCTCATGTGGCACACTCCTCCATGAATTTTCTGGTATTAAAATTTCTGCATGACTCTGTGGCTACTGTCCTAATTTTGGGTTAGTTCTACTTTTGGACAAGCAGCTGGGCAAAGGAGCAAATTTTGTCACTAACATACAAGTATTAGTATCACCACCTCTCAGACATGTGTGGGAGGACAGAAGTGGCCCAAAGAAATAGGAACCTTGGAGGCTCTTCAGTTCTCACAGTGAAAGGGCTCCTTAGGCCTTACTGCCATCACAGCAGAGGAGAGCACTGAGATTTACAGGCTGGAAGTGTAACCTTATTTTGAAAAGTGATCCTGAACATGTATTGTTCATGCAACAATCCTCATTAGCCCCAAAAGGAGAAGCAGAAAAGCAGAGAAGAAATCA